TTCTATGACTTAACGGCGAGCAGGAAACTCATGGCGGAGTCGCCGCCTGCATTCCCTCTCCATGCGTTCTCTCTCTCACCAGAGGATTTCTCGCGGGAACAGCTGGAATTTTAGAACTGTGAAATTGTTATTTACTAGTACGATGAGAAATAATTCTTTAGAGTCTTCCTATAGTAAACTTACAAACAGCGCGAAAAAGGCGCTGACAATCGGACTGATGCCACTCCATACACGGAGACACCTCCGCCACGTGGCGCAATGTGGCAGGGCAGTTGTCCTTAAAAATTATAATATCTTAATTGCTTCAATGCTTGACTTTTCAGGATGATATCTGAGTATAGTTCGAAGAGACACCGTTCAAAAGTCACGCGTCCCTTCTACCTACCTTTGTTCACGTTTTATCACGTTTTTAAAGAAAAAGTTGTAAAAACTTGTCCGGCGTCCTGTGCTTCTTTACTAAAGAAAATTAATATTAGTTGGCAACGCTGTTTTTTTGCTTTGGGGGGGGGGGGGAGAAGGGAGGGTTGAGCGAAATTCTCCGGGCTGCTTCAGGAAAACTGAACACAGCCATTCAATCGGTCAGCCTGCCGCATCGTGTCTTACATGACAAGAAGCCAAGCAGCGACATGTGCACATATCGCGAATGATTTGAAATACACGTGCCAAGAGCACGTTTCCAAAAAAAGTGAAGATATTCAGCTAAGACAGACTTCTTTACAAATTGAGCTTTGCATGAAAACGCTGACCCATCCTTGAGGATGTGTCATTGCATTACTTCCAATCGTTGGTTCGGTGGTGATCGCGACTTTAACTGTAGTTACGATAGTAAACGTTAAAAAGAAATTGATAGAGACCACCGGCGCACACCAGCATCTCAAATGATGATGCGGCTGAAAACTTGGTCGTGGCGAATAAGGAAATTGCATATTTGTCAAACATCCTGAAAAGGACGCTCGTATTGACAGACGAGGTTCGCCACTCATGATGTGAGCTGAGCGTTATTGCAATTTGTGATTCAGGAGCAGTGCGCTGGTCCCTGATTGGATGCCTGGCAAGGACAATCTTTCTTCACAGAGCAAATTTTTGGTCTCCCCTCCCACCGCCCCTACATAAATAAAAACAAAATAATGAAAGGAATATCATATAGACTTTTTTTGTAATTTTGAGCTAAAACTGTGGGTATAAGAGTTTCGTTTTTCGCTTGGCTATTTTTATAGCTTGTGCGTCTGAGTACGACCGATTTTTTCCTTTCGAAGGTATAGGTTCTAAAGAAAGTTTGATTGGTGGACTTAGGTACAGATCCTTTTTTTATCGCCTGATAGTATACGATCTACATGAACAGAAGACAATCGTGCATTATATGCAGAAAGATTCTGTCGACGTTCCTTCTGTAGCTATTGAAATAAGCAAACCTATTAAGGGAAATTCGATGCAGGAAACGATTTAAGTTTAGTTTAAAATGCTATATACTGATTACGAAGTAACGTCGATGGTTTAAAAAGAAGAATCTGTTGTGAATAAAAAATGAAGTACAAACGAAATGAAATTGCGCCGACCAACATGAAGATGTTTAAAATAGCAAAAATGACGTTTCGGCTGCCTGATATATATACGGTAGCCTTGTAGCCTATTTCATTTCGTTGCATTTCACTGATTGCAAGTGTTAATTTTTCAGATTTTGAGTTTTGTAAATGCTTAGACAGAACACAGTGTGTGTGTGTTCACACGTCCTATGGTCTGGTTATTAGTTCGGCTAACAAAATAAATGAGCATCTTAGTGTCGGCCACGTCTTATGAAGTTGTCCCGCATCTCCCCCGTCGTGCACTGCATCTGACCTCTTGCAACATCGCCGACGCATCTTCATAAGAGAGCGGGCGGCCACCCCGCTTGCTGACTCACGGCCATACGCTCCCTGCTCGACCCCGAATATTCGCCGAGGCCTTGACTATATTTAGCGGGCGCCAGCGGCTCGTTACAGAGCACGTCGGAAATGACGAACGCGTGGGGCTTGGCCGCCACGGTTTACAAATAATACGCACGAAAAAAACCGCCGGCCAACATCGTCATTCAGTGACGCAACCAGTGACTGAGGGGTGCAACCAACATTGCGTGTTTCGTCGCCTGCAGCCGACCCGGGGAAACGTCAAACGATTCCGCCCACGTGTGGAGAAAATGTTTTTTCGTGACGTGAAGGAGAACAAAGCGAATGTTGGATGATGTATTTGTGCGAAGAAGCGAGGAGGAGGCTGCTGCGGCATCGTGACAGCAGCTGCGCGTCGGGAAGCCTATATAACAAACGAGAGTATTGTGCGTTACGTACCCGGAAGACTACGCATCGCTAAAAAGGTCTCGAACAGCGCTGCTTTCAGTTGTCACAATGAGATTTATTGTAAATGCGTATTTCTTTTTTGTTTTCCAGCCGAAATGCTTAAAAGCACATGAAACGTGAAATTCGGCCTCCAGCGCCTAGCGCCGTCGGGGGCGAGTGATGCAAGAGAAATCGCCACCACGTAAGGACGTCACCACATGACGTCATAACGTCACAGGTCGCCAAAACTTATGGCATCCTATTGACGCCCTCATGAAGTCATCTTGAAGTTGAATATCGATTAGCTATTGATTCGTTATCGATTGGCTATAGGCATTGACGACTATGCTTGGAGCTGCTTGGCACAAATCAACTTTCAGTATTGCATGCCCGTAAAGTTTTTGCGAACGCCGGACGCAGAATGAAAATCCTAAAAGCGCTATGCGTCAAAATGACGTTAAATGCTGAAATCACCACTCGTTACAGAAGGGAGCGGCGACGATTCCCGACTCCCCAACCTAAACTTATTAGAGCACAGTCTATCAGGTTCGATATGGTTAAGACCCATCAAGAAGTTTCCTGAGCTGGCTTAACGCAGATGTAGATCTTCATTGCGCGGTTTGCGGGGAAGATTCACCACACTAACACATATGTTCTGACAGCGTCCTGACTTCAGCAGCAGCGAGGGCTCGGAGAAGGCTATCACGCGTGCTAAACAGGAAGACCATGCAGTGCAAAGCTGCCCAAAATGCCCATGAGAGAGTGAAGAGCCTTGACCTCCCCAGCTCAACATTGGACAAGCCAACAACTAGCCAAGGCTGCTCTATAGGACTCCACTGGCTGGCTAATCAAGACCTCGACAAAGAGATGGTGTGTGTTTTAAAGTCTACTTGAAAAGGAATGAACTTCACGTAGTCAATGTTTGCGTGTAGGGTCGTGTTGTGCAGGCTTCATGCTCAACGTGAACTTGAAAGGTCAATTTGTCGGCAGAAGGCATCAGCGTAGAATATGCCCTTACGCGCCGAACCAACCAACCAACGCAACGCAACACGTTGTAAAACACACGGTACGAAGATCTCGCGCTACAAAACCTACGCCGGCAATCTGGTACATATATTCATGGTATCTCAAGCCGCCATTCAATACCGGTAGGGTAATCCTGTTCCACGTAATGAAAATTGAGCATTAAAACGATAGGCGCAAATATTTAACACATATCTTATGATTTAGGCTCGCCTAATAACTTACAAGTTTTAATGAGCGATTCCCAGTTATCATCTAGCACGCTGTCATACGGGGCACAGGTGTTCGGATAACCCGTAACAGCTAGCCTTAGCTTTTGAAGAGGTATTTCTGGTAAAAAATATTGCCTTGAAGACCACTTGGGAAAGAAAAGCACCCTCACATTCTCATTTTGGAAAGTCTAGTTAGCAAAAGTTGTTTTGCATGCTTGAAATTGCTCTAAGGGCGCAAAATGATTCAGAGCGTGCAACTGACCGTCAGCCAAATTTTGCGAGAGAGAGCGTGCAACGTTAAGCGCCCGGTAAAGAAAAGTGTGCAAGAGAAGAATAAAAGGAAGAAGCAGCGATAGGTATAAAGTGCATTGTGACAGAACGAGCATTGTTCGAGGGGCTCGCTTATCACTATTTATAACGAAGCCAGCAGACAGTTTAGCCAAGGAAGGCCTTGTTGTCAATACTTGTTGTCTAACTCTACAGCGCATTTACAGTGTCATAAACTGAAATAAAAGTGTGCAAAAAACACGTCTAACGACGTCTTCAATTGATTTCAATTTGTGTCCCAATCAATAGAAAAACACGTGCATACCGGCAGAAGGCAAATTCCACAAAGGTTGCGTGAATATAATTTTCGGACAACACTAAGCGTGTTAGAAACGCGCTATAACGCTTCTGCAGATGACACATTTAATCGATTGCCGAGATTTTGTTGCTTTTACGTAAGCATTGCGAGTGCAATTAACAGCAGCCAACGAAATTTGCCGATAGAATGTGTTTCCGAAACTCATCAGAGCGTGGAATGAGTAGTCTCGACGCCAGCTACTCGACAATAAACTACTAAATAAATATCTTAAAACAAACAAAAAAAGATTGTACAGTGTTAAGATTCTGATTAATGGCTGTTGTTGACATTTAGACAATTCTTGTCACACGGCACGATAGAGTAAGCAATATGTGCAACTGTGCTCTTGTACCCATTGATATGTGAGGTTTAACGTTCCAACACTACCTTATGATTATGAGAGCAGCCATAGGGGCGGGCTCCGGAGATTTCGACCACCTGGGGTTCTTTAACGTGCACCCAAATCTGAGCACACGGGCCTACAGCATCTTCGCCTCCATCTAAAATGCCGCAGCCGTGATTCGAACCCGCGACCTACGCGTCAGCAGCCAAGTACCTTAGCCACTAGACCACCGCGGTGGGGCTACTCTTGTACCCAGACTCCAAGTAGAGTTACTGTATATGCTATAGCTTTATACAGTAACTCTAACTTCAACTAACAGCCAACACCCCCTGTCGGCCACGTTTACATAGCTAGTGAGTTCTTTCTCCTTCTTAAATTCCTTCATGTTGTTTTGGTGAAGTGGTTGCCGTGGTGGCAAGTTGAAAATTAGCATAGAACGCACTCGTCAGGCAAGGGTGCAAACACTGCACTTTCATCAGTGGAGGATTATTAGAAGCAGAAAGCACACTGATCAATGTCATCCTTGCGCAGGGGCCATGCTAATCTTCTCTGTATCGTTCCGATTTTAGTATATGTACCTCTCTATCTTCAATCTCCTCCATCCCCCTCCCATGCGCAGGGTAGCAAACCGGCTGCCTATAGGCTACTCCCTGCCATTATTTTCCTCTTATTTTCCTTCCTTCCTTCCTGATCAATGTCAGTTGAGAATGCCATTTTGTAGACCCCGTAGTAGACCAAGAACACAAAGTCCCACATGTTATTTGCGCTGGATGGCAATACACGCGCCGTTAAGACGGGAGTGTTAAATTGTTTAACGTTAATGATTCCTCATGAGAGATGGCTAGCCACAACGCTGCTGATGCGACAACGCGTTGGCATGAACAATAGCTCCTTGTGATGTGTATCTGCAGTGAGGCTAAGCAACAGATGTGATTATTATTATTATTATTATTATTATTATTATTATTATTATTATTATTATTATTATTATTATTATTATTATTCTTGTGCCCTTGGAAAATTCATGTTATGAATTGATAATACATGTTATTTAGAAATTGTGCCTGATCGTCATATATGATGAATTCTTTTACGTCCTGACTGAGATAGTTAACTACTCACTAGATACATACTATTGTTTTATTTATCAGATACTGCCGGCTGCCTTTTGGGAGCCATTGCAGAAGTGGGTACATCACATTAGACTATTACACAATCTATCGTTTCGGTCAACAAACGGGTTAAAAAAATACAGATCAGAACATATGACCGACGATAAGAAAACTTGCGGCTGAATGGGAAACGAAGACATGAAGCACGAAAAAGAAGTCCAACAGCATTTGCAATAATCCTCCACGGTAAGACAGGGGAACAATAAAAGGTACAGGAGCGAGTGACTAAAACGAAAGATTGAGCGAGATTGCAGAACTTTAGTGTAAGATTAACGAAACAAAATCAGATAATGTGAACTGAAGGGCAGCTTCCGCCCAGGCATACGTACCGCGAAAGCGATTCCGCCTACATTCCTTGTTGTAGAAAAAGAATGAAAAGAACTGCGTAAAACACCGATCACACACAATCTTGTACTGCATTTGTGAAGGCACGAAGTGACGATGGGCTGACTATGCCACGTGGAAGCTTGTTACATTCTGCTGTCGTTCGAGGAAAGAATGAAAATCGATATGCGCTCGTTCTTACTCGTGGCCTCACAATCGTCTTATTGTGTTTCGATCTCGCTGGCCTCACGCTGTTGTACGTCATGTAACCAGTCCATTCTAAGATTACGGTTTACAATACTACAAAGAATTTGCAGTCGGGGCAACTTCCTGCGCGATGTTAGAGTTGGAAGTTTGCTTAATTGTCTGAGGTTAGCAATAGACACATGCCTGCACGTAAGCGTTGGAGATGAATAGTGACGGTTTTTTTAACGCATTCAATACAGTTGATATCGCATTTGGTATGCCGGTCCCAAACTACGTCCGCATATTCTAATACTAGTCTAACTAATGTAGTGCAAGCCACAAGCTTAGTCTTAAAAGTGCAATGTATAAGGCAATTTCTGAGTATGTAAAGTTTTCTTTTTTTCAAAGCCTTGGAATCTATGTATTGTACATGGCTATTTCAGCTTAGCATAGAATTCATCTGTAATCCCAAGCATTTAAATAAAACTAAATCCCAATATTTAAATAAAAGTATATGTATACGGTATATATCTAAATAATTATTGGCGTATAACACACAGTGCATGGTAAAGACTGAGATTGCACAACCAGCTTAAACAGATTTGTAGGAAGAATGTTTGTTTTATTTAGTCGACAAAGAACACCCGAGAAAACCTGACCTACAACACCGGATGATGCGCGGCTCGTTGATGTTTTGTGTTGAAGAAACAAGCTTACCGCTTAACACTGGCAAGCTTCAACCTTTTCACGTTTAAATAGCCTAATAAGATATGGTGCAGCAGAGCCTTCTTTCTTCTGCCCAGTGACTGGAGCTCAGAGATAAATTCCTTCCGGCTTTTTCTTAAAGGGGCCCTGCAACGCTTTCTGAGCATGGTCAAAAAACGCTGGCGGTCGGTAGTAGAGGCTCCCGAGAACACGCGAGCCAAATGTTATAGCGCAGCACGCGGCCTGGAATTCGCACTAAATTATGAAAGTCAGCTGAAATTGATTTCTTTTCCCTCGAAAAATGACGGAAGACGCTCAAAAATCGCATGTAAAATACCAATCTAACAGCCATTGGCTGATTTGAACTTGGCGCGCTTGGTTTTAGAGAGATCGCCATGAGAGGCCGCCACTTGTCCACGCATGCGCGCGCGATCGCACTGAGAAAGCCGCGCATTCAAAGAAAAAAAGTGCTCAAGGTCACGAGGCGCACGTGACGTTTTTTTTTTTTTTTTTTTTGGCCCTCCCATCCATCCCTGCTTAGCTTCCGGTGCTTTCGTCGGTACGAAAAAAGAGAATGCGATTGCAGCGTTTGACAAATCTTTGTAACTCCGCTCGTACTGGACGGATTCTTAATATTTTTGCGGCGTCGAGTTTGTGAGGAAATAGGCTTTTCCAGTGAATAAATCCCACGGTTACTCAGAAAAGCGGTTCAGGGCCTTTTTAACTGTACGCATTGCATCAGAAGTGGACGATAAAGGCGGCTTTTCACTATCAGGCGCTCGCTTATCTGATAGCCCGCGCCAGAGAAATGACCTTTAGTCGCTGTAGCTGGTACTATCCAGAAAACAAATGAAGCAGCTGCCGCGGTCTGATATCGGGATACATGTCAGATCGAGTGTTTTTTCAAGGGTACTCGCCGGCCGAACATAGTGCTTACATGCCATTAGCACTCAGGTGCTGATTACTGCGGAGATTGGACACAACCACCAGGGAAAACTCATTATTTAATGCTGCTCCGTAGATATGTATGTCTGCTCCGGTAAAAAAAAATGTATGATTTAGGTAAAATTTCGGCTCTGAAGCTGCAACAATGCACTCATTGTCCTCACATGCGGCGGCTCACGAGGTCAGTGAGTGAGCAAGTGTAAGTTTATCCAGTTCCTGCAAGGTCATGGAGAGGGTTTCCGCCTAGGAGCCGGCTGAGAGACTGCGTCTCTGGCTGCTTCTTTGGCTTCTAAAATAATTTCTGCCGATTCCATTTGGTCGTCGGTGCATGCTAACGTAGTCAAGAACATTTGCATCTGTGGACCTAATCTAGAAGAGTATGACAGGACGTATTTAAGTACGCAAGTATGGGAAATAGCCGAGAATATCAATTCCTGTGCTGACGTCATAGATTGGCGAACTCATTCATGAGTTGACTCACTCGAACTCACTCAGAAACTGTTGAAGCCACGAGCCTGAGTGAGTGGTGAGTATTATTTCAGCGAGTTTGAGCCCGAGCCAGCCTGGCTGATATAAAATTTCCCGAGCCTGATTCCGAGAGAGCCCTAGGTACAAAATATATTTCATAAGCGAGTCTCAATGAGTGACACAAGTTTTGCCGACCTGGACTTGCAGTGAACGAAAAATCACGCTTCCCCTTCGACGGTATCCAGCCGAAGAGAATCGTGATTTCCGCTTGATTTAATTCTTTCAAGTTAAGGAAGAATTGTTGCCGTATAAATTTAAAAACAGCACAAATAACATCCCTGTGATTTCTTTGGGGTTAATTATCGGTCGGTTTTATTAGTTGCGAATAAGACATCTTCTCAAGAGCTCACTCATTATAGTCACCCTGTAAAAAATGATGTATGTGTACTGGCCGACAAACGCCCCTTTTCAAATGCGTTTCGTTTTGGTGCTAAAATACAACGCTTTCTTTGACGTAAAATAAAATACGAGCTGTGTGAGATATACCGCTTCAATTATAGGCCTGTTTCTGGCGTCGTGGCAGAAGTATTGTATACTTATCACTCAGAAAAATTGCTTTGGCTTTAGCATTGCCTTGTGAAGCAGCGCCAATATAACCGTAACCTGAGAATCTCATGAAGCCCTTCAGAGACAGAGACCGATAAAGGAAATTAAGGGCAGAGAGGATACTAAAGGTATAATTCTGTTGTCATGTCAATCCCGCATATATACGGAAATTCGATCAATGCTTTCATCAAGGCCTTAAGGGAAGTCACTACTTTTACGAAATCGAGAAAGCTGACGTAGCAACTTGAAGCTGCCTTCACGGGGCACAGATATCCCGCTTTTACGTCTTGTGCGCCGTACACATATAAAGCTTGCGCAAGAAAAAGAACTGACGCATTTACAACACGAGGTGTGTAGTACGCTTGTATAATTTAACTCGATGCATTGTTTCAGTTGGAGCTCAAGCACGAGAACTCAGCGGTTGATGTCACGGGCCGGGAGAAAACTGACAGTGCATTATTGTTTTCCGTAGAACAAAGAAAGTTCCTGTAGGCTCTCGGCTCGACCTGATGGCTTTTTTCGGGGAAATCGAAGCAGTCGGTGTCCCCCCCCCCCCCCCTCAAGTTTGCGGGTCACTAAGCATGCGATATTGATTGCTTGTTTGATTTATTAATTGATTGGTTCATATACAAGCCATGAAATATGGGTAAGAATAATGACATTTGAAAAGCAACAGTGGTGAAATTTTAAGGCGTAGAGGGCACTGACGCAAAAATTTGAACATTGAAAGTTCTCGTGCGTGACGTCATCAAAAATAGCCACACTGCTCGTGAAGTCACCAGAATTAGCAGTGCAGCCTGCTGTCACGCAAGTCAGTTTAGTGGCGTCAAGAGAAAACTGAAGTTAATATCAAGATAAAATATTAGGGGCGAAACATCTTGGGGTCTATGCTTGTCCGTTGTCCCGCGATAATGACGACGTCGATGATGATGAAGAATAAGCGCGTTACAGACCACCCATTCTCATTCTACAATGAATGAGAACGATCATGAAACCTTTCTCACCCACGAAAGGCAAAGCGGCAACGCCGACAAGTTGCTACTTCGGAAGCGAGAACGTGGCATGCGGTGGTTCAAAGTCTACGCAGAGAGCAAGCTACCCCGGAGCTTTTGTTTTATCTTTCTTATCAGCATTTGTTGAGCTTCTCATTCGCTAGGACCCGTGTCAGGAGATTTGTATGCCAG